GAATTGTTTAAAAATTTAGATTGCCTGACAACTTATAAACTCCGATTTATAGTCTCTGATGTTTTTGCGAATTTGTTGCTATCTTAAACTTTAAGTTTGGTGTGGTCAAGACGAGCATTTGATGATTTTTTAATCGGAAAAAATTAAATTTAATTGTAGCTTTAAAAGCTATGCAACCAATTCCTAAATTAACTTCGCTGGCAGCAACAAAGCACAATAACCACCCAAGGCAATCCGACAATTAACTGTGAAAAGGTCAGCTGAAATGGCTTCTGATTGGATGGGATTTGCACCTGTTGACTGCTCCCTTTGACCACTGGAGCGTGTGAGCATCGGAATCATCGAGAGCCAACAAAAAAGTGTCGGTTAACAGAGGATATAGAAGAGCATCCGTGTTGGCTGCTCACCCAATTGCGGTCGAGGGTGTTCAATGACACTGCATAGACACACATTTTCCCGTACGGGTATATTCGTATATATATTCCTCAAATCGATGTCAACGACTTTGAAGGTGGCACGCATTGTTTGACAACACCATCACATTCACAGTTTGCCAGGAAAAACACAAAGAGGGGGTGGTATGTAAGATATTGGCACCCAAGCTAAGCTATTTTGCATGAAATTCAAAAAGTTCGCCATCCAAGAAAACATCTTGATTGCAGTCTCTGGCCTTTTCCTCTTCTCTTGAGTTGCTCTTTTAAAGTGGCAATTGGCCTACGAAAAGAGGCTTAAAGAGTTGGAAATGGGGCCAAGTCTTGGTTATATGGTTGGCAAATAGCTGTTTTAAATAGGGAAAGGTTTTAAAAATAAAATTATAATTAATTGGTTTTTTTAAATATTTTAAAAGTAGATTTAATAGGCAAAAAAGTATCCATACCTGTCATACGCATTTTTCAAATTAAAGTATTTTGATGTAGTTAAATCATCCTGTCATCCCCTTGGTAATTGATTCCATCCGCATTTGTGGTTTCACTTTCAGACTTCCTGTCGCTATGCATTTCATATATGGAGCTCCGGCTCACGTGTAACAGGATTACGCGATTTAATGCTCCAAATTGGCAAACGAAAAAATATTTAAATTGGTTCGGCTACCCCAGAATTTCATTGATTGAAAAGCTTAAAACTGAAAGGAAAATGCTTAAACACTTAACCGACGGTTAGCATGGCAATAAGCCCCACTACAAATGTCTCGACATTCTGCCAATACCCACACACTTTCTGTCACGCATATGGAACCCATATCATCGTAAGCTCTTTCTGACCCGGACATAAATCGACCTTCATTCCGGTGACCAATTTCCCATCGCTTTGCGTGCTGCCAGGACATTTTGGGTGCTTCGTTAAAAGGTCCTACCAAAAAGTGAGCGAGAGTTCTGGCCCATAAATAGTGGTGGTCGTTAGGAGTTAATTGGCCTTGAAGGCACGTTCCCTGGAATTATGAGTTACAAGCTGCATAAAACTTAAATGCTGCCATCATCTTGGTCAGCGTTCACAAATATTTGCCCCACTTAATTGATTCAATTTGCATGTTGAGTAGTTCCTGGGCATGACTATTATAAAGCCAAAAAAACGCCATCAAGTAAACAAGTCAACAAATGTTAATGAAATTTTCTGGGGAGGCAACTCTGATGAGTTTTTACTCTTGGTTCTTTCAAGTTTTCATGTTTAATATGTAATTTTACAACAGACATTTTCTTTTATTTTTCAAATGGTTAGAAACTAATATATATTCATTTGTTCCATGACAAGCTAGGATATAGGATATAGCATTCACTGCCTTATAGTTATGGTTACGACATAGAGTGGAACTGCACAATTCCAGCTAACTGCAGTTGCAAATTGTAAATGCGATTCGCAGTTTTCCATTCTCGCGAAAATTGCACTAACGCTGCAGTTATGCAAATTCAACTCAAATGAGACTTTGTGTGGAAATGTGTGTGTTTGCAAGTGAATGTTTCTGTGTGTGTGTATAGTCTCACATGCGTGAAATTAATTTCTCCCACGAGAGAACCAGGTGCAAGCAAATTAAAGGTAAGCCACCTTTAAAGTGAGTGTGTGTGTGTTTGGGTTGGGGCTAGAGTGCGCCGTAAAGTATGCAACTGGAATACAAAGTCTATTTTACGGAAATGAAAACTTTGAACGGAAGTTGAAAGACTGGATTTTTCAGGAATTTAAAGTCAATGTATGTACACATTTTAGAAATTGTAATTGTTTTAGTTAACTTTCGAACACTTACAGAAATTACACTCCAAAATCCCTAGAAAGATCTCTTAAGGGCGTTGACAAACTTGTAGGCAACAAAAAAGGCCATGACTTCACTTTTAGCCAATTTAATGACATGACATTATCTGCAAAATATTAAATCATTGAATCCTTAAAAAATCTACATAAATTCCGCACCCTCATCAGCGTCAGAGGGCGGAATATGTTAGACCCCTACACCGATTGATTATGGTCTAATCGCAAATGGCTAGCTCTTACTCAAAGCTGAAATCATAATAAATCCCTTCGAGTTGAGACAAAAAATGGACCATACAAAATCCAAAGCCCTCCGAAATAAGTAGAGGGTATGTTGGGGCCTTCTCCAAAATTCACCCCTAGGTGTTTGCCGCTCAATCAAAGCTGACCCAGAGCCTAATGAGGTGCCCCATCCACCTAGCCTTGGGTTGCCATTTACAGGCAGATTATGAAATTAATGGCCTACAATTGAGCTGGCTACTTTGTCAAGGGAGAAGATTTGGGGATAACTTTCCCTTCATTTTTCATTTTTAATGTTCGCCACGGGCCAAGTTGGGTCCATGAATACGCGATTAGCTTGCACAAACTTTATTAAAAAAATTCCCCGACAATCCGCGTTGAGGAGCATTCAATTTTCGCTGGGGCCGACTAATTTAATGTCTTCCCAAGGAGAATGGCTACGTTGAAGGCTTTTAATTGCTCGGGCATAGCTCTTCATTGGCTGCCTTTGGCAGTGTCATAAAAGTTTTGTGGCAGCAGCTGGCAGCGGAAGTTGACGGGCTGTCCGCTTGGCTGCCTTCGTGGCTGATTCGATTGTGGCCCAGTCGAAGCGACAAAATTAAGTAAGTACGGCCAAGTTGCAGAGGCCACAAAGGCTGTTTTACCTCCTGCTCCACCTCCTACTGCCTTTTTCACCTCCGATGGTCGTTAAACGGGCACAATGGCCACTTCGACTCCTGGCTGGAAGTGAGAGACAATACACTGCCTGCACGGAAAATAATAAAATAATCTAACTGCCAAGTTACTTCTTAAAATAAACAATGTCATTATTATAATAATTATAAAAAAAGGATTACTAATAACTAATAGTTGTATAAAATGATCTTTAAACTATATAAAGTAATCTAGTCTTCCTTTAGTAATAAAAAAAGAGGTTTTTCTTCCACTGTAGTAGTATTTATGGGGCACCGACTGCGAGGATAGTGATGCATATTGAAAGCTGGCAAACACAATGAACAAAAGGTAAACTTCATTTGGCCAAGACAAGGAGCGAGGGAGGTAAAAACGAGGGCAGGGAGTAGGAGGGGAAGCAGCATCCGTTTCCGTCAACACTGGCACACAATGCCGTTTCCGGCCAACTTGGCTTCCAGCCAGAGGAAAATTGGTTGGTGGATGGGAAAATGTGTTTGGCAGCTCGTTCGACTGCTTAGTGGCTAATTTGCAAATAGATGAAAATGCGCCACACAATTATAGCTCTGGCAGTCGACTCGGTATTGTCGATTGGAACCCTTGGGGATTTAATTATAAATTTCTTCACCTCCATCTGCGTTCAGTCGAACTTTATTAGCGCCATTACCTTGCCTTATTGTGCTTTTCTTGGTACGTAATTTCAGGCAGTTTAATCAAGAAACTTAATTACATTAGCTGAGCACATCTGAGAGACAGAAGTTCGACAGGTTCGACCGCAAATCAAACACCCACAGACTCGCAACCCCCAACCAGAAACACTCAAAATCGCATAATTAATGCATGGCACTTGCGGCTACCCAGTATGTTGCACATACGCCCCATGGGCCACACTGAAAGTGTGTGGCCGAGCCATAATTTGCAATAAATATTGATCCACTGACATGACCTCTGTACCCCAAAGCGTCAACTGATAGATGGCTATATCTGTTTGGTCTGGCCAACAACCAACAGCCACGAGCCATGCAATGATAATATTTATCTGTCACGATGACAGATTCGCTTGAATTGATTGCCGCCAGCCTGTGAAGGAGGGAAAAATATAGAAATATAGGATGGTTTAAGCTGTCACGCTTATTTCGTTTTGACTTGTCCACTTTGTATACTTTAAAGCCACAATGGGTCACGCCTAAAATCGCTTTAAGCCAGACGAAAGCGTGTGCCCCCCATAAATTGTGTATTCTTCGAGCTTAGCTACAGTTTCAGCCCGTAAGTCAGAATCATTTGTCATAATTCGAGCGACCCCAAGGAGCGGACCCGAAATAAAACAAAAACCGAAGAAAAACAAAAACACTGCCCCAAAAGTTGACCCAACAACACCTTGGGCCATCGAAGTGGCCATTAAAAGTGCCAACAACAAACAGGCAGCAAAAAGTTGGGGATCCGAAAAAACATTCTGGGACCACATGGCCAACACTCGACACGAAAATCGACTGAAAAGCAATTATTTACATTTCGGCAATAAAAATATGGAACAGAAAGCCAAAAAAAAAAAAAAAAGAAAATGGAAAACAGACAGGGGGCGGTGGTATTGTGTCAAAAATGCGTTGTGCAATTTATTACCTTTAATTTTTCTTGCCTGCCTGTCTTTCCCTCGAAAGAAATTGCATTTCTGCGGATTGTGGATAATAATTTTTATGACCATTGCCTTCGCTTACGCTCTTCGTTTCGTTTCAACTTTTTATGAGTTCTCGAGCGCTGATCCAGAGATTTCAGCGGAAAATCGAAAAAGTTTTTAAGAGCCTTCAATTCGCTTGTTAATTTTAATCCCTTTGAATCTTTCTTCTTTTTTGCAGAAGTTAAAGTAAAATGAAACCCATGGAATGCCCGCAATTGGTCAACCTGTGAGAACTACGAATTCCGTGAGCTTCAAGGATGGCGGCGTCCAGTTCAATTATGGAAACCGTCGCCATTTTGGCCCTGCTGCTTGGCCTTTTTATTCGAAGTGGTAAGTGATATTGCAAGGAATTGATTTTAAGTTAATCAGAACAGGTTTTAATCCATAGTAAATCAATTCTGTATAATAACTTATTTAATATTTTAATAATTTACATTTTAAAGGCTACTGCATAGACTGTTTTAAATGCGTCTCCTTCAATGGGGCCAATAAAGCCTGCGACGATCCGTTCCACAACAATTACTCAACGGCCATTCTGGAGTCACCCTGCATGGGCGGAAGGAAGGGGCGTGATGGCTTATTTCCGGCCACTGCCTGCATAAAGATCGCTGGCTACTATGGTAAGTGAATGCTATACTAAAACTGGCCCTATGGATGATCCAATATATCATTTTTATCCCATTTAAAGATGAAACCGGGGAGACGATAACGGTAAGGGGCTGCGCCCTGGACAGCGGCACCCTGACCACCGACACCGAGATTATAAGAATGTCGCACTGCGGAAAGTTCTACTACGATGACAAGTAAGGGTTTTTAGGGTTTTTTTTTAATGATATTTTACACTGCTCCGCAATAGTAACTTGACATTGGGTAATGCAATTTCTTGAAATATCTTCATAGGTACGTGCACGGCTGTCTGCAGAGCTGCAGTGATGCGGATGCCTGCAACTCGGCCAGGAGGCAGGGTGCAAGCCCCGCGGATATGGAGACACTGATGAGGCACCTGCTCAGCCTGGTGGTATTCCTAATGGCTGCCACCAGGTAGCATCATCGATATCTGTAACTGAAGTATCCGGAGCAGGAGAAACTGGCGGAAGTAACGCGGGAAACGAAGTGAGGCAGCTGGGATAGCATTTAATTCGACTTGGCTGCGCGTGGAAATCCTTTTCTTTACCTTCGAATCTCTCTGTGTCTAGGATCGCACCCAAATGTAAAACGCACTCGAGCATCTGCAGCAAGGACACGCTCAACAACACACACTCTCTCACACCCAAAAAACATTATGGAATTCATCAAGCAATTATGTGATTTATAAGCGAATACTTAACAACTATCAAACAATAATTGATGAACACGAATGGAAACTATTTAGATGCTAAGCATTCGAGTGGCGAAAATCAAAGGAAACACTGCAAAACTAAATTCAAACTCTAATTGCAATTATTTTTAGCTCCTAAGAAGGCAAAACTAGACTTTAAATGCTGTCGCTGCTAAATTATTAAGGAAGAATATAGTTAATGGAAGGCAGGAATGGGTTTACGATTTATATACGATGTGTTTTACCTTGGCATAAATAAGTATTTTTCACCTCTCTAGACGAGTATTGTACATATACAAGAACAATTTAACTATTTGTTAAACGAATGCTGAATTTTAGGCAAATTATAAATAATTATGTGTAAATGAATTAGTGGGTAAAATTAGCAACGAAAACTGCGAACGCTAAGTGGAGGGGAAATAATCTTTTCTTTTCCAAACCTTTGTAATGTGGAATAACATCATCTTTATTTATATGTGAACCGTCGTCACTATCAAGCAACATGTAGATTTTTGTTTTACCTGGAACTGGATGAACTATTTTCTGAAGTGTTTTTGATTTCCTAAACGTTGTTTCCTCAAGAACAATCATTTATTTTAAACCTCCAACAGCAAAGCCATTCCGGCCCTGCCTAAGTCTTAAATCAAGCCATAAAACTGGTCATAAATGACACAATTTGTTGCTATATAGACTTCTGAATGTAGACAACCAACTACTAACACTTACCGCCAGTCTAGTTCGGTTGATTCACCGGCAGATTGGTTATCATGCCCGGATAGCCCGATAGGGTATCGCTTTGTGAGGTATCACCTAGCAGCCGCCAAAAAATGCCGTCTTCGATTGGAATTGTTTAGTACATTCTAGCAGCTCAATCGAAATGGACGGTAAGAACAGGCTCACTTACTTTTATCGGTTGTTTCCTCCAATTAAGTGGGATTATTCCTTATAGGTAACACTTGGCTACACTACAGTAACGGGGCAATCCCTCAGGCAGCCGTAGTGGCTGGCCACGATTCCGATGGCGACACCATCTTCATTGGCCGCGCCTTCTACTGCAACGATATGTTGCCGGCCAAGATCATTCCCAACAAGGGAAAGGCCTATGTTGCCTATGCCAACCAGGAGGTGGAGTTGGAGAACTACGAGGTGTTAAGTGGAGGCAACTACGCCTGGCTGCCGGCTGAAAACGGAGAGGTTCCTCCCGGAGCCGTCAAAGTTGGCAAGAATGTCGACGGAGAGACTTTGTACGCCGGAAGGGGCTATCATGCCGGCAGTTTGACTGTGGGCAAGGTACATCCATCTCACGGCTGCCTGTACATTCCTTACGATTCCGAGGAGGTCAAGATCTTCGCCTACGAGGTTCTGTCGCGTCTTATTGAGGCCAGATAGGTGCTCCAGTTCCAGTTATTGCCTGTTAATCACAAATAAATTCGACACTTTTTCTAAACGCTCGTGGGTTGTAATCTGTTTTTAGTTGGCCATAAAACTTTCTTATCTCGGAAGTTATTTTTAATCATTACTGAAGCTGTCAAAGTTGATAAGTGTTAAGCAATTTAGTGTATTATTTAAACAAACACCTTGTTAGAGGTGATATATTTTAAACTCAAATACCTTAAACTTGTGGTCGCAGTTTTCGTCCTTCGCCCTTTTATGCAGGAAAAAGTTCTAAGTTAACAAAACCAAATATTATCATAAAGCAACTCATTAACAACTAAGTTGAAAACTTTCTAAATTACGCGTAGCCTAATTACTTAATTGTAAAGACGAACTAAATTTTCATATGGATACGGAGAACCAATAGGACCAAACTAAATGAAACAAATACTATATGCAAGGGTCGGAATCTACGGCAATAGCATTTGATAATAGCAAATCGAACTACAAATCGAATTTGCATCGATTTTCAGTTTGAATTTGTTTGTATTTAAGTTTTTCGGACTAAGCGAGCTTGCAATGGTTTCCGCAAATGAAAAATCAACAATTATGTATAAACAAGTGAATAAGTTTTGATAGAACTCAACGGTTTTTGATCAAAAAAACAGACAGGCAACACGGAGAATACATCAAATTCAAAATATTCGCATTTTTTATCTGCTGAATTCGCTTGCTTGCCACGCAACTAATCAAAAAGCAAAAACACAATACGCACCTTATTGGCTATTAAGGCACCTCGAGGGCCATCGAATTCTTCAACTCTCTCACACTCAATGAACGACCAAGCAAAGTTTGTAAAAATAACACAAGAGTACATTAAACGTTTCATGGCAAGGCAATTGCCAAACATTTTTGAATGCAAATGTATCTAGCACTTAAGGAGAACTTTATACATATACAATTGAAGAGGCAGCGCGATGGATTAACGATAATTAGATAAACTAGATAACGACGCTACTTGAACTAATCAAATTGAATTGAAAATCGAAATCGAAATTGTTTCCCTTGCATTTGAATGCGTGCGTACAACTTTTTCTAGAGCAACATTTTTGGGCAACTGAAGCATTACCAACTAAACTATCAGCATTTCTGAATAAAAAACTGCATAAATATATTGAAAGTTCGATATCGTCTATGAGTTTTACTAACACTACACATATTTACAAACATTGAAAAGTCCTTGATTTAATCCAGCAAACTCTTCACATAAGCAGCGTCTTCTTGAACGAATTTCTCGGCTTGTTCGGAGGGCACTTCTACTTCGGTTTTGTAGTTGTCCAGACCAATTTCTTCCTCTTTTTTGATCAGAATGTCCACCACATTCTCGCAGGCCAGCAGGCAGTCGCTATCCTTGGCCACCTTGGCCTCCCATTTGTGGTATTCCCGCAGGATCTCATAAACGCCCCTGGATCGAAGGATTTCTCGGCTGCGACGTGTGGAGCACAACTGCAGCAGGCACTCCAGCAGCATTTTCCGCAAATCTGGATCTTCCTCCCGAGTCTTGCTTTCAGGAAGGTACTAGAAAAGCAAGGTCTTAAGAAATTTTTAATTATTTAGTAGATACTACTCACCTGCAGTTCGATTGGCAACAATTCGTTGTCCTCATCGCTGAACTCCTCAGGACCACACAGCGGCTGCAGGATAGCCACCAGGATATTGCTCTGTTCATTAAGGATCACATCGTGGTAGACAGTATCAAAGCAGACGTTCTTTAGGATACCAATAGTACCGCCTCGACGCACCACACTTCCTTCGAAAGATGCGAAGGGGAGGAGCTTCTCCAGCAACTGGTATTTCCTATGGCAGCACAGTTCCCTACCTCGTGGCACTTGGGTCAGATTGCAGAAGATGGGCGCCAGATAGTGAAGCTTTGCCTTCTTCTTGTTGTAGTCCAGCTGGGCGAAGGCTTTCGCCAACCGAGGCAATGTTTGATCGTCTCTTTCTAGAGTGTCTAGGATCTCGTGGACAAGGGACTCTACACGTGTTAGATTACTCAAAACCATGCTCCAGGGATCAGCCAGATCGGATTGCTCGTCGGAGATATGCTTGGCGGCCACTTCGACAATGGCAAAGGCCTGGGAGAGAAGAAATAAATGGATTTTCTTGTAAATTATAATATACAACTCACTGGCTGCAACTGTTTCGCTAATTGAAAAACTTTAACAGCAGCCTCTTCTTCGGCAGTTAAATTTATTAAACTTAACACCGCATCCTTGGCCACAGTTTGGTTTTCATCGTAGGTAAGTCCAAAGATGGCCATTAGCATTTCGTCCAGCGAAAGTATTGCTGATTTGCCCTCAGTACTTCCAGTTAAACCTGAAGTATAAGAATTTAGAAAATAAAATGTGTTACTTCGTGACGTCACAGTTGATCACAACAAACGCACGTGCAGGCAAGTGGAAGTTAATTTTCCGTTAACGCACCTAGAACATGTGTCAATGCCACTGCCTTCAAGTCCAGTCGTTGATTGGGCTGCATGAATTGTACCAGTTCCTTTACAGTGTCCATTTTAATAGTATTTTATTGGTTTTATTATAAAGAAACTGCGAGGTTTGTTTTCGTTTGAGCGGTGGAAATAGATATGGAATAATGTACGATAGTACGACTTAATACTATCGATATGTACGAAGTGTGTACTAGCTAATGCGGAAAGTGCATCCGCTAGACGAGAATTGAACCATCAAAAATTCTTGTCACAGACTAAAGCTGCTTGCTATACAAGACTTAGTTTGTACACTGACCTTTAATTTGAAAACGCACTTGTTGGAAAACTATTTTTGGATTCCCAAAAATCTGCAAATATCTCATATATCTGTTGAAACAAAAAACCATAACCAAGTTTCTTGAATATTATTACCACAAAATACCAAAAAATTTAATAAAAGATTTTAAAGAACATATAAAAATGAATGTATTCCGAATTTAGCGGGTCATCCAGACGGCCGAATGCCACTCGGGAACGTTGTCTGATTCCTGCTTGTATTTCTTTTTGTTGGTTATACCTTTTCCACTGATCGCCTTCTGGATGAAGCTTCTGACTTTGTGGATATCAGTAAATATCCCGGGCATACCAGGCCATTCGCAGGCAGGGCCCCAAGCGACGATTCCGCAAAGCTTATCTCCTGAAGTCAAAGGACATCCAGGGCTAAACATGCAGCCCGGTGTCGTCTTAAATTCCTTTGCACAGGCGACAGTTTCACCAAGAATAGAACTGCTGAAATTCGATTCGCATTCCATGCGGTCGACCACGGTGACCTCTTCCGTTCGAACATTTTCTGTCAGTTGAGCTCCACAGGACACCACGTTTAGGCGGTCGTTGGAACTCAACGGATTGCTACAGAGTTTCACAAAATTATTCATATTGCCACGCAGACGGTTGCTAAGTTTTATCACAGCCACATCCATAAAGGTATCGGGCCAATGCCAATCACGCGATACGATAATGGCGCTGATGAGGGCAATGGTAGGATTGTTCAAGTCCTCCTGGTTATCCTGTTGAATATCGGGTGTTAGGAATTCCACTCTAAGCGACTTTAATAATGATCTATGAGCATGCATGCAGTTTGCCGAAGTCAGAGCGAAATGTTCACTATAGTAGGAAGCTCCGCAAATAAAGGCGTTTTCATACATGATCCTTAGCAGCCAGGGGTCTAAATTACCACCCTCGGTCATCCGAAAATCATTATTGTTCACCGTAATCACTGGCCGCCTGGCATGTAGGTACGAGGCCGAAGAATTCCACCAATTTGTAGTTGAAATACCGACATTTGCCAGAATTAGAGGTATCAAAAGAATCGTCTGGATTAAATGCATCTCTTAAAGTGGTTTTACGGGGTGATTGAGACTTACTGACTAGCTCGCGGAACTGGAAAAGTAATCATGAAAAGTGTGAAAAATTAATTTCTCACACTTTTAAAATGGTAATAACATAAGCAGGGAGTTTTAATTGATTAAATAAATATCATTTATCATAAAATTTTCGACAAAGTCGAAATAGTGATCCAACAAAATGAATTCGGCAACAAAACCTTAAAATCTTATACGAGTTAATAAACTTAATATAATTTGTATCCAATTGATAAGCGATTACTTAACACACCATATCATCCAATGGATTAATTGTGGTTTTTGTCTCTTCTATTGTGCCAGAGTTTCCAGACAGCTTTGCACGTTTGTTTCTCCGGTATTTCTCAGCCCTAAAGATATAGCCGGCTTTGATAGATTGCTCTGTTTCTACAATGAATCGTGACACCTTTTTGATGTTGGTGAACATGCCGGGCTTTGAGGTGTCTTGGCAATTCGATCCGAAGGATACTATCCCACAGAGTTGAGTTCCGTAAATCATGGGACCACCGCCGTCGTATAGGCATTTCCTTGGATTTCTCGGCTGCCTGACACATAGCGATGTGCTGGATAGGTTCAAGCCCTTTCTTAATTTTGGACGGCACTCCTTTGTTGACATAATGTGGACTGAAGAATTCCTGGGATCCGAAGAGGCTGCCTGTACTTCTGCGCTGTCGTAGCCCCAGCCAAAGACGAACATTCGCATTCGCGGCCTCACCTTTACATTACAGAGCCTGATGAACTCGGTGAGGCGTCCCTTAATTGGTTCTTTAAGCCGTACAAGGGCCACGTCCATGTAGAGTTTCTGATAGATGAACCTTTTGGGGAACTCAATGGTATCGATGTCAGCAATGTTTTCTTTATCGCACTTAGAGTACGCGGTGCCCTCCACCGTGGCACCTTCAAGGCTGTTCCGATAAGGATATATGCAATTAGCTGATGTGATTACTAATAACGGGGAGTAGTATGCTCCGACGCAGGCAAATTGGCCATTACTATTCAATATGCGCAACAGCCAACCTCCATAGTTTGGACCGGTATTTGATGCCACTCCGTTCCATAATCTTCGATATTTGTGCATCCGTAGTTTAATGTCCCTCGGATAGATCTTTCCCTTGCAATAGGGCAGGAAAGTTTCTAACAAAAGGCACAGCAATAGCCAACGCTTTGAAAATCCCATTTTATAGCTGTTAGGGGTAAGAGAAACTTCTAAGTAACTAAGGCTGAGTTCTATGATTGTGTGATAAATTTCTAACAACGTAGTGTGGAAAATTGTTTCGTTCAATTCAGAATCAAAGCTCTCAATATATACACTTTCAAAACAATGGATAAATATATCGGTGTATATATATTTAATTGAAATTATTGCTTAAATAACTTTATTAATTAAATTAAAAGAAAAAATAATTCTGTTCTTTGAAATATGTTGTTTTGGTTCAGGTACATTAAGTAGGGTAAGTAGGGTATAGACCTAAGACTAAATCACATTTAATAGAATCGGATAAGTTAATTTGTAAAGCAGATCTGAAATATAAAAGCGTTTATTTGGACATTAGAGAGCGATGCCGAAGACCATTCATTGGGTGCTGTTGTTTTTGACGTTGTGTATATCCACGCCAAATCTCCCGAAGGACTCCGAATAATAAGTGGTGGTGGAAGGGACGGGTATTTAGCAGGAACTTTCGTGGTTGGCTTCTTTCTGTAGAGCGTCCTACTATTCTTCCTTCTAAATAATTGTCTCGGCGAACTGCCTCGATCAGTATCATTATGACCTTGAGGGCACGAGTGTTGAACCAACGTTTACACATGAAAACAGTTATGGACTGATGGATACTGTTCACACGCCATCGAGGTCCAGACCTTATAAGCTCTACATGGACATCGCCATCTTCGGTCTGTTAAATCCTATTAAGGGCAAAACGACCGAGTTCATAAGGCTGTGTAACACCACCATAACACCCGAAATGCAGATGGTTGCATACGCTTGGGGATTTGACCTCAGAATTCGGATACAAAAACTGGCATTGTGCCCGTTGAAAACATTAGGAAATACATCTCGAACTACAGTGCAACCTGCATAAAGCTCTCAAGCACATCAATCTGTGTGACGGAACCAAAACAACCGTGGAAATGCCATTACAATGCAGGAGCCCCGCTAATGGCTCTCAGCTCTGCGGCGTAGTTTCGCGCGGATCACGTTGCGCGTATACCAGCCAACTGAATCAACACTAAAATTAACAAAGTGATCAGCTTCAGATCAGAGCAGATCGATATGAAATGGCAAAGAGTATACAAACAAATAGGATATACAATAAAAACGTTAAAAACGGGATAACAAATAAAAAAAGGAAAATACTGAGAAAGCGAGCAATAATCTAAAAGAATTGTAAATAAAAGAAGATAATTTCACACCACAAGTACTGGAAATAAGATTAAACTTATATTTCAATTAGAAATTGGAGCATAACTAAACTAAATGGTTATGGAAATTCTCCTCGCTGTGGCTGACGAATGTTAAAAAAATAAGACTCTAGTTCGAAATGAAAGAGCAATGTTGAAGAACTTTTACTGGGCCCTGTTAGTCTCCGCTTTGTGGCCTCTGCTAACGTGGGGCAAGATTTACAAATACAACATCACTCTAAAGACTCCGAAATCGAAGCGTTGGTGGGAAGGTCCGGAGTCGAATACGGGTCGTAACTACGGAGGCTGGTTGTTCCGGGTAACTCATTTTCGAGAGGGGACATTCTGCGGTGCGTCTTACTACAGTCCACTTTTGATGATCGTCTCGGCGAACTGCATCTATCCGTATCGCTATGATCTAGACGGCACGAGTGTGACGCCCACGTTTACTGACGAAGACATCTTTGGATTGATTGACATCGTATACACGCCCTCAAAGTTTATATACCAAAAACTATACATGGACATCGCACTCATACGTCTGCGAAATCCTATCAAAGGAAAAACGACCGAGTTCATAAAGCTCTGCAGTACGACCATAAGTGCCGGAATGATGATGACGGCGTACGCATGGGGCTTTGACTCAATGACATGGGAACCGCCGAGCACGGTGACCAAAAATGGTTCTGTACCCGTTTTGGACATTAAGTTGTGCCAGAAAAAGTATAAAAACACCACGACTAAGCTGTCGAGTACCTCCTTCTGTGTAACGCATCCAAAAGATAATAATATGTGCCGCTACGATGGAGGTGCCCCTCTCACCTACGGCACCGAACTCTGCGGCGTAGTGTCCCGTGGACCACTCTGCAGCGACACCAAGCAACCGGGAATCTACACGAATATAAACAAGATGATCGAATTCATTGAGGGGACTGAGAAGAATATCAATAATGGTATCCTGAAGGAGCCAAAGACCTCCAGAAGGTCAATTAAACCAGGACCAAACCGGCAATAAAAAAGAAACCTAACCGAAAAAAAAACTAAAATAATCCTTGACTTTTTAATGTTTATTATATACATGGCTGTTCTTGAATAGTTAAAATATATATTAAATATAGAATTGAAGAAATCTCAAGGACGCGTTTAGCTATAATAAAAAGTGATATTACAGTTTTGTGATTTTTTAAATACCTCCAAAGCATGTTCGCAATATGCTAAAATTGGTCAGTAAGTAACAGCTTAATTATAGGTTGACAATATTCTGACTTATTTATAGAAATAACGCAATACATTTTAGGGCTGCAATTCTATTTGACACTCATCAGGTCCCGTACACTTGATCGATATGTTATTTTAAGAAAACAGAGGGAAAACCTGATCATCCCGAAACTGTAATACGCGTACTATTTTTAGATGCAAGCCCCCTGAGACGATTGAGTACGTAAGTGCCTGAAGTAAGTCAGAGATTCGGTGTGATGTCATTCGGAAGGGCAGTCATTGTCTCCTCTTGGATCGTGTTTTCGCACAATAAACTGTGAGCTTTATGGATTCTTAAATGCTGATCGAAGATGAATAACGAGCATAATTTAAACGAAACTGGTTCGGGTATCTTCACCTGAGTACAAGTCTCTCCGGTGGGAACTTTCCACGATCAACTATCCCTTATTTGGAGTTGGATTCAGGATAAAGGTCAAAGGGGCTTAGGAATATATTGATTGTTTAAAAATGATTAAATGAATGAAACACTTATGAAAAATACATATATATTCCGTACAGCTTATTGATAACATTTACATTTTTGTATAGCATCTTAATAAAAGTCATTATAAAAAGTGAAACAAACTGGTATTCGACAGCTTCTAAGGCAATAATACCATAAAACTGAGTAATAACAAAGTCAGTCAAGTGATTTGTTTATAACCTTATCCACACATGTCCGAAATCTTGGGAAGAGCAATTCAAGTTCAGACAAAAACTGAGACTAATCGGTCAGATCAGGTCAATCTTCAAAGTTCTGATCTTATGCAACACCTCTTGACGTGAGCACTTCAAACTCTCAGCGTTAATCATCGGATTTTGAGAGGCTACCCGAAAAACAACTAAAGTGCACTTAGAGAATGGATGCTAACTATAGTTATTTATAATATTTTTTTTTGTAATTGTAATTAAGTTAATTAATAAATTCTGAAATGCAATTTGGAAAATCAAAAAAACTTAAAACATCTTAAAACAACATTTTTTTTTAAATCTTTATTTCAGACATTATTTTTTCTTGTGCAAGAGAAAACCAGCTGAACCGGCAGTGACATCACAGGCGGGTTTTCTGGATTTTCGGCCCACTTGCGCACTTGCCGTAAGACCGCCTAGCGGTACTTTCGCTTCAAGACAAAAATAACCACCCACTTGGGGGAGGCTGGGCGGTATTATTTCGGGAACTGCGTAATTTGGGTTTCAAGTACAAAAACCGGACACTGAACCCGGTCGACGACGTCGATCAGCAAACTTCCTGATCGTAGGGCTTACTAAGACTGGCCAGAAGTGTTATTCCTCTTCCGGCTAATGGTAAACGCCCAGTGGATCACGTAGGCTATCGACATGGGTCTCCCCCGGGATCTCAATATTCAAAATTCTAAAAAAAAAATTGGCAATCTGGCCACGAAATATCCGCTGAAAGTGCGCACCCACTGGAGCGATTGTAATGCCCATCATAAGGCGGAGCGGTTCGCACGCCCAGTTCCAGCGACTTAGTCACATAGTCGCCTGGTACCCTCATAAACATAATGTCTTCCAGCGGTATCTGGTCAGCATTCAAAATGAGGCTAAAGCGCGTGCGCGGCCCGCTTCTGACGTTACCATTTGCTTTTTTAGCTAAGTTGAGCCATATAACCCTATAATGCCCCAGGGGATATTTTGTATTTTTATCTTTTTTTATTACTAAACTAGTTTTTTTCAGTCTTAGTCTGGTTGTTCTATACAAAAAATTAATAATACGTCCCAAATCAATAATAATTAGCAATGTTGGTTAATTATAGTAGTAGAGACATCGTCACACTCAAAGTCAATAAGTAAGCAGTCTAATTGTTTAACTCAGTCATATTCTGGAAGAGCTTTCCAGGAAAAAACATTTTAATTACGTCATTCTAATTGACCGGCTATTAGTGGCCACACTAAAATTAATGTGTACTTAATGGAATAAATGGGATTCAAACAGCTTTCCTCATAAGTATTTATTTCATATATATCTCTAGCCTAAACCTCCTCTTTTATAGTGCTTAAATCTCTGCCAAAAATCAGTGCGGCGTCTGCATACAAATCACTTGTGATTTTATTCAAATCATAAGCTCTTACTGTCTGATTCGATTCCGATTGGCAACAACTTCCTTCTTAAAGCGGGATTTGTTCTTCGTCTCCTATTGCAAAATAACAATAGTTTCTTATTGAAACCGAAAACGCCCGCATTTTAAATGATTTCCATAGAAATAGAATTTTACATTTTGCCAGTGGCATCAACAACAATAAGGGAGAGACTTTTGCTCCCAGCAAAGTAAGCAATAATTCTTGCTTATCTCGGGGGGGAGTCGTGGGTGCACAGGACGTGTTCCATCTGATATCCTTGCTGAAGGCATTACCATTGTTCTGCAATTTTATTTCACAAAATGCAGCACCCACCAGCAGGAGAGAAAAGGGACGAGAAAAAACATAAGAAAAAATATATAGAGGAACTCTGTCTGGGGAAACCCGAGATGGTTAGTGATCTTACAAAGGCACATCTGTTGCTCTCAGGAGATACAGCATATAAGATGTGTAATTGACGCCTCAGGAAGCCGAAAAAAAGCGACATCCAAAGATCCCCAAGGCAGACATATCGGAAGCAGAGATGACGTTGATGTCTGGATCCGGAATTGGCGACGGGACTCTGGGTTCATTGATCAGTGTAATGATCTTCCTTCCATCTTGAGTTACTGTGTAGGGCACCTTCTTTAAGATGTTTTCTTCCGTTCACGATTATTTTTCCCCTTTTAAGTCTACCCTGGGTGGTTTCGCTCTTCTAAATTTCTCTACTTCAAAGTTCAGATATTAAAACTAATCAGTTTCCTGTTGCTGATGCCAGAATTTAATGCCACAAATGCAGGTTAATAACTTAACTACCTTGGCTGCTGGGTAACTCGATACATTCATCTCTGGAGAAGAGGTGCTTGACCCAGCTTCGTTAAGATAAAAAGTACTTTTATGTGGGGGAAGCACTGGCTGAAATCGAGACTTTTATGAGATCCCGATGCTGTTGCAAATGTGACCAACTGACCTTTTTTTTGGGGTCTCTAAAACCTCGATGCTAATGACCGCCGTGAACTCTGACATGCGATAGCAACCGATTGTGCCACAAACCGAGTTGCACTTCCAAAGCTCCGCAAACCCAATTAGGACCTGCGTTACCTAACCCACATACCCCTGAGTCCCACTTTTCTACCCAAATACTCCCAACAGGCGGAAGTTTCCGTTGCTACGACTGAAATATATAGGTGCAACATCGAGCCAGTTGCGAGTCAACTCGAACGTGTCGGTAAGGGATTCTTTGGTCATGGGGTGTTGGTTTCTAGGGGTTGTGTTTTGCTTTATTATTGCTGTAGTCTTCGCCACACCACGTGTAAATGAAATATGAGCGTTGGGCCAAACACCTATCTGCATTGGATGACATCGAACTCTTTGAATCCTACTTTGTTACTTCCAAGAAATCCATTGCAGAAGAGAAATCAATGTGCCATCAATGGCCTTTTGGTCCAAGTTTAAAAAGTTTTGCTCAATCGAAAGTCCTTGAAGATACGAGTAGTGAGCAAGTTTCCACATTCATTAGCATGTCCCGGCCGGGAAAAGTTTCTACCAAAGATACAAACAACAAGTGTCGAAAACTTACATCACACGAAACGGAAACTGCCAAAAAAGCAAGCCATTTATGTTGTGTTTACCACCCAACTTTTGGGCCAGCGGAAGGAGCATCCAACTCGAACGTGTGTGCAGGAAGTTGGCCAGGCCAAGAGGCGAAAAAAACTGGCCAAAACGAGACAGTTTCGCAACGAACTCTGAACGCAGCAGTCGATCCGAGTCCCAAGAACTCGAAAGTCTGAAGCTTGGGGCCCCCGAGTTCCGAGTCCCGATACTCGATTCTCGATTCTCGAGTCCCGAGGCGTCGATATGGCAACCAGGCCAACAGGAGAACAACAGGAGGGGCTACGCTAAAAGGGAAACCATGCAGACATGTCCTCGTTCCAGGACTTCGACTTCGGCTCGATCCGATGCGATTCGGCTGCGTTTTCGGTTCGGTTTCGGCTTTCGACGCGCTGCACTCGCTGCGACCAGAGTTTTGAAGTTCCCGCTGGCCAAGTTTTGAATCAGTTGCCGCCGACTTGTTGGGTCATTTGCATATAAATCGATCAGTGCGCCAGATATCGGTATATACCAACCAAGAAACATCTCAATTAACTAACGATCAATTATTAGAGTGCGATAAGGAAGTGACGCGAAATCGCCGAGTGAATTACCTAAAATAAATAACTAAATACCTGAGTGAGTAAATTTATCTACTCCACTTTCATTTTGGCAACTGCAACTATTTTGCATTTTACCTGTTAGCGCTGAAACTTTTTCGAAATTATTTATCACGGCATTCGAAAGTTTTGTGCCGCAGGAAATTTTAATTTAGTCGATAAAAAAAAAGAACTGTTCTAGATTTATATTTTTGTGTCAAGTTTAATTTGTGAAGAGTTAACTATGCATACAAAGCAGCAGGGATTTGTTGCCGTTTATTAATTAATATTGGCTTAGTGATTCTGTTTGAAAGTGAGTTTGAAACAAGTCCTGCATTGAATTTTAATGAGAGTTGTTCGATAACGGGTTAAAATTTGAAATTAATGGGATTATTGCAAGTTTTTCATTTGGATTAAGATATTATAAATAATTTGTTAATCAGAAAATTAAAAAGTTCTAAAAATAAGATAGCACACCTTTGTGTGTTCTAGA